GGCCCCGCCGCTCCCGGCCCGCGCCGCCGTCGCGCTGCCGTCACTTCCTGCCGGCGCGCTGAGGTCACTTCCCGCCGGGGGCGCCGCACGAGGAGGATGCCGCGGTCCTCACGTTTCCCTGAGGCGGGGACGGCGCGACTGGGGCCCGGCCGGGGCTCCGCGGCCTGTCCGCCCTGAGGGAGCCCGCCCCGCGGCCGTAATGGCCAGCCTGGCCGCCCAGGACTCCTACCTGCAGGGCTTGGCGAGGAAGGTCTGCGTGCAGCACGCCCCGGAGTCGCGGAAGAGGAAATTTGGTAACGGGGCTGCTGCGGCTTCTGTCCCTCCGGGCCGGTCTGCGGGAGGCTGGGCTTGTGGCAGGCCCCCCTCCGCGGGGTGCGTGGCCGGGGGAGTTGCGTTGTGCCGGTTTTTAAGGAAAAACAACCTCTGCTGTGACATGGGGCTTCTGAGCGCTTCTGTACAGGTGGTGGTTGGACGTGGGAGAACTGGGGTCTTGGTGAAGTGTGCGAGCATGTTTGGTCTGTTTAAATAAATCCTAAAATACGTCACTTTTGAAGATTAAGGTGTGGCATTGCGATGCTGGAACTTCAGTCTTCAGTAGTAACTGAATGTTATGAAGCGGGAATGTAGCGTTGTCCATTTTGTGTAACTTGTCTTTGCCTTCTAGTGGCTAAGCCAGGCCAGCCCGAGGATGCTGGCAGACCGGTCAAGAAAAAGAAGAGAAAGAAACCCAGGAAGCAAGCTGAGAAGACAAATGCCCCTTCAGTCAAACAGGTGGTCTCTAGCACCAATAAATCTACGCCAGGACAGAAAGCAGCCCCTCAAGCCAGCAAATCATCTCCACAGGGTGTCACACAGAGCAGAAATGAGAGTTTGGTTACGGGTAAGAATACCAGTGTTGCCGTGGTCTGGTTAAAGTTACCTGGGCTGAGGTGGCTGCTTTTCAGTTGCTTCCCACACGGATGGTTTGGAAAGCCTTTAAGAAGTTCAGCTGAATTGAACACATCTTTGCTTATTCCACGTGCCCTAAAAGCTTATGCACACGTACATACATTCGTAACATCACTGGCGGGTGGCTCTCTGGAAACAGGAGCGTTTAGTCCGAATTGCAGACTTTTAATGTATTTGGGTAACTTCTGGGAATTATTGCGTGGATGCAACCTGTGTCATGGCAGGCCTGCTTTCCATTATGCATCTGAAAAGCCTGACCACAAAGAATAGATGTCCTTGGTGTCTTTGTTTCCACTAGCTTGGTACTTGTCTTCTGGCTTGTTGGGCAGCCGCGGGGCATGCCAGGCCACTCCAGCTGGTGGTGTTGAATGATAATATGGATAGAAAAGGGGGAATTCTAAAGAAACCAATGAAATAGAAACTCTCGGTTTCTTTGGATTTTCTGTTCTATTCACAGCATCTAAAGAGTTCTCAGAGCTTTGCCCGTAGCCACAGGAAGTCCTTCTGTTTAGCTAGTGCTGTCTTTTAAGTATTTTTATTTTCTGCCTCTCATTTTCAGGGAGCGGAAGTGAACTGGGTTCCCCTTCTTTTTCCGCAATGAATCTCCTGCGTCAGAGACTACACGAGAAGATTAAAAAAGCTTCTGGACAAGTATGAGAACTCTTAATCTGTATCCATGTGTGTGTTTATGCAATATAAATTCTCCCTAGCCTCCCAGGGGATGTGGGGACCCTACAAGGCTCAGGGTTTGAGCTAATTCCATCTCCTAAGGAAGTGGCTGTGGGTGTTGCTGGGAGACCTGTGCGTGTTCTGTGGTCTGGGAAAACACGTCAGAAAAGGTAGGGCCTGGCTTGCAGGAGAGGAAGGTGATTTTTAGGAAAAGGAAAAGCACTAAGAGCCTGGAAGGGAACATAGCTCCGGGGTGTGGGGAGAGAGTAAAGGGTCTGAAATGCCCTTACTGTGTTTGCTGCCTCTGAAAGCTGAGCCCACGGCTTCTTGTCACAAGTAGTGCGTTTCTTACGAGAAGTTTGAAATCAGGAACTTGAGGACATCCCACTTTTAGTTCTGCTTTATCCCTTTAATCCCTTTATCCCCTCCTGATGCATGTCCATCCTTCTCCTTAGGATGATGCCAAAGAACTACCCCCTGCAGTCCTGGAGAAGAGGCAGCGAAGGAAGTACGAGAGAGAGAGAAAGAAGCGCCGAAGAAAGGAGTTGAAGATGAAGGCAAAAATGGAGAAGAAAGAAACCGAGGAGGTACCGGTAGAGCCAGAAAGCAAAAAGGAGGAGAGCACAGCTGAGGTTGTCTTTAACAGGGTCGAAGTCCATGAAGAGAATGAGTTGAGCAAGGTCCAGAAGAAGAAAGAGAAGAGGAAAGCGGTGAAAGGCAACATCACTCCTCTGACGGGCAAAAACTACAAGCAGCTGCTGAGTAGGCTGGAGACCAGGAAGAACAAGCTGGAGGAGCTCAAGGATAAGGACCAGAAGAAAGCTCAGGAGCTGGAGAACAAGATGAAATGGACAAACGTTCTCTATAAGGCGGAAGGCGTGAAGATTCGTGACAACGAGGAGCGCCTGAAAGAAGCTCTGAAGCGTAAGGAGAAGCGTAAAGCGCAACGCCAAAGGCAGTGGGAGAAGCGGACAGAAAAAGTGGTAGAAAAGATGCAGCAGCGGCAGGAAAAGCGTCGCAAGAACATTCAGAAGAAGAAGAAGGACAAGATCGAGAAGAAGAAAGCCAGGGCCCGGAAGAAAGGCCGGGTTCTGCCGGAGGACTTGAAAAAAGCTGGCTTGAAGTGAGAGGGAGGCGGCTGTTCCGTGCGGCCTGGGGAGGGGGGTGCTGCCAGCGACGGGCTGTCCCTCTCTCCGTCTGTCTGGTGCGGCTGTGCTACCCCGTCCGGGAGGAGGCAGCACCCAAGGGAGCCAGCCCGAGGGGCAGGCACTGCCGTGGCTTCCCAGTAACGACCCAAAAGCCTGTTGTGTGTTTGTTAATTAAATTTCCTATCCCACAGAAACACCTGATTGATTTATTATCGTCATTAGCATTATTATTTTCCTAAAGGGAGGATGCCGGTTGCTGGTGTTTCCCCCGGAGAGGCGTACGGTGCTGGCCATGTCTCTAAGCCCTCGTGCGGTGGTTGCCATCGGGCAACTGACCCCTCGCCCGGGATCAGCCCTCTGGGGGGCGGAGCATCGCCCGAGGGGGGCGGGGCAATCCCAGACCCCGCCTTCCCGCGCCGCCATGGCAACGGGGAGGGCTGTTCGCCACGCCCCCTTTCCGTTGCTATGGCGACGGGCGCGCGGCGGGGCTCTGCCGCCTCTGGTAAATCACCACAGTGGGATTTTTAACTCCGCCGACTGCTTCGCCTCCAGCAGCGTTAGCAGGTAGCGGAAACCGTGCGGTAGGCGGTGTAGTTTCACCCTGAGGAGAACCTTTTAAAACGGAACTGTTTTATCTCCCCTCGGGCCCCGGCTCGTAAATCGCAGTTCGCCTGGAAGCGGGCCGGGAGGTCGGCTGTGCGGGGCCGCATGCAGCCGGCGGGGGCTGTGCGCCTCCTGCCCAGCGGGGAAGTCTGCAGACAGATCTTTAAAGATCAGGTAAAAAAAAAAAAAAAAGTAAAGGGGTAAAAGCCCAATGAGTTAGTTAGGTGGGCCAGTTGTTCGCTGGCTGTTAAAGTGGTGACCTCAGGCCAGAGGTCAGTTTCAACCCTTCTGGTTTTTGTTTGTTTTAGTAGAAAACAACTGTGTAATCTTCGGCATATACTTTCTAAAGCACCTACGGGTGTTCCCTTGTCTTCACCGTGTATCAGGATACGTTAGCTGAAGGTAGAATCATTATAACGCAGCGGTAAAAGGTACATTAAGAGGCATGGTAAGCCAGGTGCAGGCGTTTCTCACGCTGCTGTTGACTTTCCTCATAACCATAAGCTGGGCACACAATCTCATTTGCTTCAGTTTTCCTCTCTGAGGAAAGGGATATCGTTTTTTTCCTATTTTGCAAATAGTCTTGGATGAAAATTGCTATGCATGGGCCAAGTAGTGTTAATTATTTTACCCATCTCTTCTGCCACCTTTGCCCTGCTCTTTTTATCTATTATTTTGTTGTTTTTTCTCTGTTCAGTAGGTTGGAAAGAATTCTAACCATTTTGATTTTGGTTCTTTGAAGGCTCACTTAGTACGCTCTTTGGATAAAGTAAGGAACAAGACTAGGTTTTCTGTAAAGAATGAAAGGCTCGCTTTGGTTAGGGACTCAGAAATTTCTACTGATGCCAGGCTACTACCGTGTTACCAGCAGAAGCGTGTTGAAAGAACGCCCTGCAATGACTCCACAGAAAAGCCACCGTCATACAGGTAGAGAACAGAAGCATAAAACCCCAATTATACGTTCATGACTATAGGTATGAAGTTGTAAGGTTTGCACTGGGAGCTAGACGCTCCTGCAGTCTTGGTCACAGCACTAACGGCTTGCCATAGACTGTCTCCTTGCCAGGTGTAAATTGAGTATAATGAGCTGCTGCCTGTTAAAGTGCCGACTGACAGGCTAATATTTGCAATGACAGACGTATTGCATGGCTTTTCTTTTAAAAAGAAATTGTGTGTCTTTTTTGTTCAAAGCAATCTAGATATAAGCCCAGTCTGATATATATTTTTGAACGATATTTAAACTGTGTTAATGGTTTACGTGATGATGCAGTAATGATTATGTAATGACCAAGAAAAGAAATTAGCGCGTCCATCCTGTTCACCCTAACTCTTTGCTGAATAATGACACCCTTATTCTCACTTCCCCCAAGGAGAAACAGTGCCCCAGTTGGGGGGAAGAGCAGTGGGCAGATAAAGGCTATTTCCACATTTCTAGCTAGTTCTTACTTAACAATTCATAGATTTTTATACCTTTTAGAGATAGTGTGGATGTCTTTGTAGTTTAGCTGTATTAAATCTAGCATTACTGCTTTTTATGCCATCACAGCAGATTTGAGGTTGTGATCAACCCAGGATAGATAATTACTCAGTCCAATTCATCTCAGAAGAAGCAACTTTAATTCTTTGAACCACATTCTTTGAAGTTAGAATGATGCTTATGTTCACTTAAATGTTACATTTTGCCAATTAAATTGACTATTATACCGATTGCAGATCCCTACTCTTACGTATTTAGTAGAAATCAAAGCTTTATTCTCTTTCTGTTTCAGAGAAGCTACAACGTTTCAAAAGGCTTGGAAAAGCGTAGATGTAAATGCAGCTGAGGAAGTCGGATCCCTACCTGATTTTGTTGGTAAAATTTATTTCCCTTAATGTCAGGTATTTCAATTTACGTTTTTACAAGCCACCATACATATAATGGTTTTAGCTGAACAAAGTATAAAATCAAGCTCAGAAACGACCTGACACATTTTTGATGACTTATAAGTCATTTTGAGATGAAGAGTCTGCTTATAGAAAAAATGGTTGTAAAATTGTCAGTCAATCACAGTTTGTGTTTAGGTGGTAAATTCCAGTTATGATGTAAGCAGATCTCATTCTTGGAAGCTGCAGTTTTTTTCCATCATACCTGAACTTAGTTCATAGCTTCCATGCTTTTACCCTTCTGAAAATCACAAATTAATAAAATCAAAGGAAATTTTAAAATATGTTTTACTATTTTTAACGTACATTTGCATAGATTTCCCTTCCTGTGGAAAGCTGTCGTGCACTGTCATAGCTGTACAAACTACAGAGGTCGCAGTGTGGATTTAGTGATTCACCGTGCACACGTTATGGATTCAGCAGCAACAGTTCCAAGCTATGTCATCCTCATTTCTTTCTTGGCAGTTCCTGAGGAAACGAGGAGTAATATCTTGGAACGCCTGTCAGAACGCCGGCGAGGCCGTCATGATGCAGCAGTCACCTCAATGTATCACGAGCTTGGCTGCATTGGCAGGGTAAGACTGGATTTTGTAATCCAGATAGTCTGGAGTGCTATACTAAGGTCAGGTCTTAATATTCAAAAGATCAGACTGACTTCCTTACCTTTTTAGGAGATGGAACCCTTTGTTTTGGAGCCTGGAAAAGTCCTTCTGACAAAACTGATGGAATCTGATAGAAAAATTGAACTTCTGTTTAGAAAGATTGAGTTTGACATTACTCTGGAAGGTTTCTCGATTGAAGTAAGGCAGCTCATGCTGTTTTCTCATCTTTAGTTATTGGTACCTGGCCTGTGTAACATAGCTTCTCATGTCTTGCTGTAGTTTTAAGGTATAAATGCTTGTTTGTGTTTTGGGGTTTTTTTTTTTGTTGGTTGGTTGGTTGGTCGGGGTTTTTTTTGACATTTCCTTTTCAGTGAGATTGTGAGTAAATCCTTCTTGCAGGGTTTGGAAGAACAGTGGAACATCATCCATCAGGAATCTTTGACCAGAAGGAAATGGATTAGGGAAACGGATGAATCCTTAAGAAAGGTCGAATGGAGTCGAGCTGATAAAGTGAGCTGTAGTTTTAATAGCTGTTAATTAAGCATAAGATTATTATTTGCTCATAATGCTGGATGTAGAGCAAAGAGTAGCTTGTTTCCACAGGAGTCGAAAAGGTCTGCCAGGGGTTCTGTTGTGTAGGTGATTACTGTCTTTTCACCGATGGATGATTCTCTCATTTTATACCCATGTAATCAGGAGAAGATACTTCTTTTCCAGTTACAAGGTGTTTGTTCCACAATTACCTGTAGTAAAGCTGCAAGGAATATGTGAGCTGCTTTTATTCTTCTGCAGGTTATTTAGGTCAAACTGTCAACAGGTCTCATGTTGTTTTGTTGGGACATACCTGTGCTGCAGCTGAGAACGTGCACAGATGTGCCTTAGCTCATTTTAGTATGGGTAGGCTGGGTATCAGTAGCAGACATTCTACAGTTATGCGGGCTTCAGCCTGACCTGTAAAAGTCATTGGATATCACAGTAAATGTTTGGATAAATAAACGGACAGTCCATAAGGAAGTCCGTGCTGCTTCGTCTGCATGGGCAGACAAAAGCTATCTGTTATACCTGCATCAGTTTGCCCTCTCTTTGTGATGTGGACGTGATGAATAGGTCCAACAGTATCACCAGTAACTTTTCTGTTTGTTTAGTTATGAAAAATACCAGAGATGACCACATTTGCTTAAATTTCCTGTCTGCTTAAAACAACCAGTGGTGGATTCACTACAGGTACATGAAAGGACGTTGGTTTGATTTTTAAATTCAGATTGCAGCCTGTCTGCAGAGCACTCAATTATCACGGATATTAAAGAGAACTCAGTTGAGTAGTAACAAAAGGGAATGTTTTCATTACTGTTTTTATGAATGATTAAAAAAATCAGTATTTAAGATATTTAAGATAGGTATTTTAAGATTCACTTCTCAATCTGTCTATCAGCCAATTGAATTTATTCTAACAGAAAAAATTGTCTTGTTCCTATCATTGCTTAACTTGGGAAACTGACATTTGAGTTATATGGATTTTTTTTTGTTTTGTTCTTAATTCTTTTATTGCACAGATAACAGATGTACTGAGGAAGTATACTGTGATACTGGAGGAAATTTCCTTCTTCTTGTCAGCTGATGTTTACAGGTTCATGAATGATGAGGCCATGGTAAATCTTTCATACTGAGAGTCTGGTTTACCTGCGAGAAGGTAGCAATCTGAATATTCCCAGAATGTCTTTTTTTCCAATTGAAATTCATTATTTCTACCTATCAATCACTGTGATATAGGAGAGTTTTCTATTTTGCAGGCTATCCTTTATCATTTTTATTCTTTTTCCCTCATTTTACATAGAACGGGCTTTTTTTTTTTTTTGCATGTTATATGCTGCTTTTATTCCTGTTTTTA